GAATATTAATTGGAACAAAAGACAGGAAGCAGCATCTAAAAAAAATCTCAAAAAAACACAAGACTAAAGGAGGTAGAAGGGCTGATAGCTATACTAAGGACAAATCTGCTTCCCCGCATTGCATGGTGGGAGGGGTTGGAAGGAAGCAACAATGTAAGATCAGTATCTGCTGGCAGAAGGGGTACTGTGCCATCTAATACATGTTGCCCAACTTAGGCTTCATTCAGACAATTCAGGTCATTGCAGGAGGGCCAATTTGGGGACAGTGGGGACAGAAGATAACACTGAGTGATTCTAGGTTATGGTATTCCTGCTATTTACTTCTATAGTGCTCTACTTCCTTTATCATTTTGATTATTGTTGCTTATTTAGTTATCTTTCTTTCCTGATTAAACTCGAAGATAGTTCATATGTCATGCTGAATGGTATTCATGAAAAACAACAACTAATTCTATTTATTGCTTAGATCTCCCCAGACTGCAAGAGTCCTAATGGTTTATATAAACAACAAGATTCCATCGTAAGAAGGAAGGGTGGCGGGATTTGGTAGTATGTAAGTGTACCAGCCACTGGCTTCAGTTCGGCTAATAAAACTGAGTAAAGTTCAAGTCACTGTAAATTTTAAAATAAAAGGCATGGAACCAAAGCAAAAGCTCAGTCCTAAAAAATAAGCATGAAAGGTTGCCATTGAAACATGGCACTCTAAGTCTGGTTGGCAGAAGTACAGTGAGGAAACATTCAGGAGTTCATTAAACATGTCCAAAATTGGGCCTGTTTAGTATACCCATGCCTACCTGGGTGCTGCAGACGAAGGTCTACATTTCCTAGCTCAAGACAGAATCCACACAGGAGCTAGGTTGGAACACACGCTACAGGCGTGGAGTCAAGGGATCTGACTGTGAGAAGTTGAGAATATGAAGACAGAGGAGTTAAGGCAAATGCTGCCCAACCAAGATTTATGAACTGGGTAGAGAACATGCTGGAATTTAAAATGATCAACACAGAAGACTCAGAATCTACTGGGGAGACGTGCCACAGGGTCTATTCTGCAGGCCAACGGGGAAATGTTCCAACAGTGGCAATCAGGAACCAAAGAAACTCTCAGGTGTATTTCTGAAGAAAAGGCAGAAAAAGTTGAAGCCAGAAAAATAATTCTAGGGTCCCAATAGGATATAACCTATCTAGGCCCTTCATTGGTTCATTCATTAGTTCATTTATTTATTCACCAGGTAGTAAGCTGGGTATTGGAATTATAGCAGAAGTTAAAAAAAAAAAAAGAAGTACTTGCTCTAAAATAACTTAGAGTGGAGACCAGAGAATGAATGCCAGGCTGCCTGCAAGACACTTTGGCTGAGATTTCTTGGGTACCTAAGGGTTCTCTGATTTTCTCTAAATTATCATTCAGAGGAGTCTTAGACCTTATGACAACCAGTAGACTAAGATTCTCTCCATATTGCAAAATTACCCCTCTAAAACGTGATCTGATTTCTCTCCTTAATATCCTGCAATGGTTCTTTTTGCCACTAGGATCAAATATAATTCCTTAACATAATATCATGATGTGGCCCTTCTGGCCCCTGCAGCCTAATTTCTGAACACCCCTCCGTCTTGTGCTCTACGCTCTGCTTTTAGTTACCTGAAAGCTCAAGGCTTACTCTTGACTCTGGCCTTCCTCTGCTCTGGCACATTCTTCCCTCTCTTCCGGGCTTGGTCCATTCCTACCAAATTCTCAGCTTTAAGCATCACTTCCCTGTTCCTCTGTAGGTTGGGTACTCTGCTATTTGCTCCCATAGTACTTCCTTTTCGCTTTTACTGTTGTTGTTTATTCAGTCATCTATCTTTTCTGATAAATTGTAAGGATAATTCCTTGGGCCATGTTGTATGTCTATTCTGTTTTATCATCCTACATTCAGCAACCTCAGCACAGTGTTTGGTACCAAAACAACATTTTTAGTTGCTAAAGTGAATGAATGTGAAAAACGTAAATTCTTTGAGGCAGGAACTATATCACTTTATTAACCGTAGTATCTCTAGTACTTCACTCAGAGCCTAGCATAAAGTAGCTGTTTACCATATTTTTGACTGAATGAATAAATAATTGAGTGCCACCCATGACCCCAGTCAGTCTCACTTTCTTTGTACAAAACCCCTGTAATGAACAGGCATATACATGATACTCTCAGTAGCTTCTTCTGTTTCCCTGTATGTTATGCCCTAAAATGAAAGGCTCTGGAATTTTAAACCATGGCTGGGCCTGGGCTTAAGCTGCTGTGCACGTTTGGATTCAGTCTGATCATTATACTGTCATAAGAAACCAAAAGCTGCCATTTACAAAGATCTTTGCAAATAGGACTTCTAACTCTCCCTGTCCACCTATGCTCTCATCCCATTTTTCTGCACCGAGGTAGCTACATTGTTCTTTCTAAACTTCACGAGCTGCTCTGGATATGAAGCTATGAAATAGAGAATGCAAATATGAAAACAAAGGACCTAGCAGACCCTTAAATAGATGGAAAGTAAATTCCAAACATTAAAGCTTATCTTAGGGAGGTAGATAGTTTTGAACATTTATAACTGAAAAAATATTAAAGCAGGAAAACAAAACAGTAAAAAAAATCCTATGTAGTGATAGAAATAACTAATATTGCATATTCCCTGGTTGGAAGGTTAGCAAATAAGCTATGGTCAAGCCTGAAATTTATTTGAGGGTTAGGAGGATATTTTATCTTTACAATTAAGGCCAAAGGCTTATAAAGCTGTTAAGTAGAAAAGTTTTCTGTTTTAATGACCAGTACGCAATATACTCAGTATGAATAATCATGCGAGAAAAACTGTAATAATTGACATAAAATTGTTTTAAATATTAATTTCAGTATCAACAATATATCATTATATGCATAGCATAATTATGCAATACATAACATAATTATTAAGTGTACTTACACATACAGTGTAATATAGGCTACCATATGCAGCAAATAAAGAGTTTCTGCCCTTTATAAAAATAATCTAAAGCAAACAATCCTGACAAAAACATGAAGTGATAAATTACACAGCCATGCAATTATAACATACGAAGACCTTCAGAACATTTCTATATTCTTTTAAGAACACTGATGGACTATTTGTCTTCCCTCTTTGCCTTCTCCATCCTCCTTCCTTCCTGTCCTTCCTTCCCTTCATTCTTTTGGCATTTATAGATTATGTCCAGGCATATACACAGCGGTTAGAAATAGCAGTAGCTCAGAGTCCCTGCCTGGTTATTCTCCACCTGCTAATTTTAACCTCATTTTCAGATCCTGTAATCTCTCCTCCAATAATCCAAAAACCCAGAGATTCAGATGAGTCCTGGCCCCTTCAAGGAGTCCCATTTGTAGGCTGGCAGGACAGAGTATGAAGACAGGAAAAGATGTAAAGACAGAAGAACAACGGAAGGCCCTCTGGAGGAAGTGTCTAAAGAGATGAGAGCACATGGAATCAAGTACACAGCTCCAAGGATGAGCCTTTCCCAGCAGACGGTCAATTTCTTTTGCATTACAACAAAAATGATGAGGGTGGGTTCAGACAAAGGCTGGCGGGAAAGAAGGGTAGAAATGTTCAAGTGGTGGTATTTCAGAGCTCACATTTTCTGTGTAGAGTGAAAGGTAAGGTGTTCTGCTAAGGGAAAGCAACGGCAGTGACAAAGTAGAGTCTTCAGAAAAGTAGTGAAGGTTTGAAACAGTTCTTGTGGAATACAGGGACAGTGCTCGTGCAAGACTGGGCACTCTGTATCTGAAGTGTCACGAGCAGGCTCAGTGGCTTGGGTATGGGTAGTGACTGACCTCAGTTCAGTGGTTTTTGGGAAGCATGAAGCATGACAGAAAATCAATCGGGATGCTGAAGATGGTGGAAAGAGAATGGTTGAAGTTACATGTCATGATTCCATGCTGAAATGAGCCAGATCAAGACAAAAGTGAGAGACTGGGAGAACACTGAGCAGGAAAAGTCTGGAAAGTCTAAGCGAGCAAGAATTTAAGAGTGAAATGTGGTTGTGGTCAGAGAGTGATATGAACATTTTAGGAGGAAGCAGTAATGAGTGATGACAAGATTAAAGATGTTGATATGTGCGTGCACTGCTAAAGCAAAAGCATGGATGAAGACCGCTGCATCTGGAAGGACTGTGATCAAGTTCCTCATATGGTATTAGAAGCTGATGTGGTAAAGAAGTTTGTGAAGCAGGTGCAGCAGGCAGAGGAAGAAGGTAGTAAGGTGACAACGCAAAACCATATGAAAAGGGGTACACTGCGTGTACCAACTAATCTGTATTATTTGCTATTCATTAAAAAAAGAAAATCACCCCCTCACTTATCCCATCTTTCTTGCCACTTTCTGAAGCAGTTCTGGAAGTCTTCTCTTTCATCAGTGTCTTTACTTCATCCTCCATCATGACAACGCTCCATGTCACACATCCCTTCTGGTAGATGGTAATTTCTGTCATATAAAAACATTATGGTGTGTCCTCATCCACCTTAGTCACCAGATCTGGTACTGTGTGACTTCTGGCTCTTCCCCAAAGTCAAAATGATTCAGGACATCAAGGCAGCCACCACAGCACAACTAAAGACATTCACGAAAGAGGACTTCCAGAACTGCTTCAGGAAGTGGCAAGAACGATGGGATAAGCATGTTCGAAGCAAGGGGGGAGTATTTTCAGGGGGATTAATGGCAATGTGTCTTTTACTGTAAATTTTTTTTTAAATTTAGACATTCACTATATTTTGTGATCACACCATATATATGTAGTGTGATGTATATATACATATATAATATATAAATATATACACATATTAAAAGAATTCTATATAAAACACAGATGGCAAAATGAGAAATAAACATACGGTGCTTCATGTACAAAATCATAATATTCTCACCAGTTGCTAGGAAAAAGGTGATCTCAATACAGCTGTCTATAATACAATCATACAGTCATACAAAGCAATTACTTAATAATTTGGTCTTACCTGTATTGCAAGAGCGCGAGCTACAAGACCTCTAAGGTATTGTAAAGGATCTTCTGGGCCTTCCCACTTGCTCTGCCATGTGAGAGGACACTGCAATTTAAAAAGTGTCAAATTAAGTTTACATATAAAATATTATATACGAGTATTTACAATAGCCAAGATATGGAAGCAACCTAGGTGTTTATCATAGGTGGATGGATAAAGAAGTTGTGAGATTTTATATAATGTTCCATAAAAAGAATGGAATCTTTTTATTGGCAACAACATGGAGAGTCCTAAAGGGTATTATGCTAAATGAAAAATCTCAGACATATAATGACAAATACCATATGCAGTATTCACTTATATGTAGAATCTAAAAAAAAACAAAACATAAAACAAACAAAACAAAACAGAAAGAGACTCACAGATACAGAAAACAAACTGATGGTTGCCAGAGGAGAGAGATGTGGGGGCATGCGTGAAAAAGATGTAACAAACTTAGTTATAAAATAATAAGTCACAGGGAGGTAATACACAGGACAGGGAGTACAGTCAATAATACTGTAATAACTTTGAATGATGACAGATGGTTATTAGACATACCATGTGATCACACTGTAAGGTATATAAATGTTGATTCACTATGTTGTACACCTGACACTCATATAATATTGTAGGTCAACTATACTTTTATAAAAAGTAAAAAACAAATGAAAAGAAATTTATAAGGTGATGGGATGTCACTTCTGAAATTAGAAATTTCAGATTCCTGTGAAATTACAAAATCCTGTGACTTCTGTTCAGCTCACTTTCTTACTTTCTCCCTTGCTCACGCTAAGTGAAAAAGTTACCATGTCGTGAGCTCCCTTATGAAGATGCCCATGTAGCAAGGAGCTGATGTGTTCAGTCAACAGTCAGTGAGGGCCTGAGACCTTCCAACAGCCAGCCATGCGGTAACTGCAGCCCTGATGAACCCAACTGCAGACTGCGTGAGACCCTGAGACAGAACACCTAGCTAAACAACACCCAGTTTCTCAACCCACAGAAGCTATGACATAATTTTTGTTGTTTTGTGCCACTAAGTTTTAGGGCAATTCATTGTGCAGCAACAGATAACGAAGAGAGTACCAATATTAGTGTCAAGTGTAATACATTCGTTCAATAAACGGTTAAGTCCTTATTGTTCATCCATTTAGCAATTGCTTACTGAGTGTCTACAATGTGTAGGCACTATAAGATCTTTGCTATTATAGAGTTTATATTTTACTGGGGGATAAAGGCAAAAATATATTATTATTCATTATAAGAATATTACATATGTTAAATTCTATGTAGAGAATTATAATATGTGATATAAATGTGATATGACATGATAGTGATATAAGACTGGGGAATAAATCATAAGTAAAATATTGTCTTTACAGAGAAATAGAACAAAGGTAGAAAGAACCAATAAGAAGATAGACAGCGAAAATCCCTTGTGGTGCTTTCATAATGGGTTATATATCATGTCTGGAGTTTAGAGGAAAATGATTTAATCAAGGAAGACTTAATAAAAGAGATAGCTGTTAAGCTTTGAAAGCAGTATTGCATTTTGACAAAGGTAGAAAGAACTGGAGGGAATTCTTTAAGTTAATATATTTTTTAAACTATTGGGTGCTTACTATGTGTTAGTAACTGTTCTGAGTGCTTGATATGTATCAGCTTATTCAGTCCTGACAATAATCCTGAGAAGCAAGTAGTATTATAGCTTCCATTTTACAGAAGAGAAAATGGAGACACAAAGAGAACAGCCTCCCAAAATCACACAGCTGGTAAACGGCAAGTCCCGGATGTGAACCTGGGCAACCTGGCTCTAGAGTCTGTTTGTCAGTATCAATACTGTCAGCGTCAATACTGCCTTCAACATAGTTTACTTTCCTATAGTGTTCTACATATACTACACCATTTGAGAGTCAACCAAAGACAATTATGTATTGAGGATTAAAATTATAATGATGGAGAAACAAAGGGTTACAGTCGGCTTATATAACTAATTTTCTTTTTTTTTGTTTTGTTTTGTTCCTAAATGGTAGAGAATTTGAACCCGGAGCTAAGCCCTAAATGTCACATATTTTTGCTATCCCATGCTTTTCATGAAAGATGTCACAGAAGCAGAACAGGACATGAGCAGGTCATTCCACTTGTTCATTCACTCTTTCAAGTATCAAATAACTGATTACTCAGCAGGCATCTGTTAATAGCTGCTATTTGGAAGTCATTTGTTAGGTTGTGAGGATACAGTTATATAACACAATTCCTGTCCATAACAGCTTGTGCAAGAGGGGAGGAAGTAGAAAATAAAAGAGAGAACTACAGACAATACAGTAAGTTCCCTAATCATGAGAAACACAGTGCTCGTGAAACACAAACATGGGGTACACCAAATCCAAACTCAGTGTAAGGGCAAAAGCCAGGAAAGGCTTTCTGGTGGAGATAATGCTTCAAATGAGTCTCAAAAGAGAAACAGTCTATAGTTAAGAAAAATGGCAGGAAAAAGAAGGAGCATCAATAAAGGAAACATGGAAGAACTGGGCTGATGAATTACAGGACCAGACCAGGAAAATGTTTGGATGTTTATATTAAGGAGTTTAATCTGGGAAGCAATGATAACACTAAATTAAACTTTACCCAGCGAAGAGAAACACATCTGGATTTTAGAAAGATTGCTCTAGTAGAAATAGGGAGAACAGGCATTAGGGGGATGAAACAGCTCAGAGAAGTCAGTTAGGAAACTGATACAGACATGAATCAGTGATGACCCACCTGAGAATTACTACAGCACACACTTCTGCGGCATGTGTGTGTTGGGGCACTGTCCTGGGCACTTCCTTACATAAACACATTTACACTTCACACAACCCTCTGAGGAGGATACAATCATGACCCCCATTATAAACATTTAGAAACTGAGGTAGAGAAAGGTTAAGTAGCTTGCACAAGAAAACATTCTAGTACAATCTCGGAGATTTAAATTCCACTACACAATATGCTTATTATGTGAACTTTAAAAAGAGGGCTACTTTTCGCAACTCCTCCCTTTTCCATTTAATAATGTAATTATTTGTATTACTAGAATTATTAATGTAAATATATATATATTTTTTATACTACTGACAGACACCACTATCCCACTAACAAAAATAAGGTGCTGTTCCTCAAACATGAGTGTGATTCCAGTAAATCATTATCAGCAGACTGCTGAAGTTAAACTAACATTGGATTTTAGGTTTTGAAAATGTCAGAACTTTCATTTGACTCAAGTTTATTGCAGTACTTGAAACAGGGAGACAGCACTGCCATTGCTATTCATTTCAAACACTAGAAGATACACTGGCTTTTACAGTGTGTGTGGGAAAAAAGTATTCAGTTTATCATTTAACCAAAAAAGGGAAAAGAGGACAAAAGAAAAACAGTGAGTTCACTGTATTTTCAATTTCACATGAAATGATTTAACAATAGGTATAGTTTACAAATTATCATTAACTCCTACACTAGCCATAATTCACAACCTTATACAACTAATTAACCAAATCTACTTCACAAACATATACGTAATTATATTTCAGAAGGATAAAGATAGCTTCAGAGTAGAACAATTTAATAATAACAGAATCCTTACCATTTATATATAAAAAGTACAACTTAGAAGATCAATATTTTGTGATAAAAGTTAGACTAGATTCCAATTTAATCTTACTAAGACCTTTGCTTAGCTCTAAAGGTTTCAATTTTCTTATCAGTGCAGAGACAGAATTTATAAAATTGCACCGGAAAAAAACTAAGGACTTTCTGATCCAAGAAATTTATTCAATTGAATTATTCTCTTCTTAAATATAAATCTTACTATAAAAAATTTCATTTTGTGTCTTCCCCACTCAAAGAAACTAATAGTATTTGCTTTCTCAGGATACGTAACTTTAGTTTTCATTTAAAAAATTATAAAATACTTGTTAAGCGGTACACTAAGTTATAAAAAAGGGGGGAGATGGAAGCAACACAAGAGTCCATCAATAGATAAATGGATAAACAAAATGTGGTGTATACATAAATGGAATGTTATTCAGCATTAAAAATGAAATAGTGACACATGCTATAACATGGGTGAACTTTCAGGACATTATGCTCAGTGATACAAGTCAGTTGTGAAAAGACAAATACTGTATAATTTCACCTATGTAAGATACCCAGAGGAGTCAAGTCAAATTCATTGAGACAGAAAGACAATGGTAGTTGCTGGGGGCTGGATGGTGAGAGATGGGGTATTCTTGTTTAATGAGTTAGAGCTTTAGTTTTGCAAGATGAAAAGAGTTCTGGAGATTGGCTGTATGACAATGTGAATGTACTTACTACTACTGAACAGTGCATTTAAAAATGGTTAAGATGGGGCCGGCCGAGTGGCACGTTGGTTAAGAGCTGGCTTGGGATGCCAGAGGACCCCGGTTCGGATCCCACATATGAGGGCCAGTGACACTGCCCTCTACAGCTAAGATGCTGAACAACAGCTCAACCTGGAGCTGGGCTGCTGTGAGTCGCTGGCGACTGCGTAGGCTGCAGCCCCTGCTGCAGTGGGTTGCCATGGGCTACCGTGTGCAGCCAGCAGCCAGCGTGTGCAGCCAGCAGCCAGCGTGAGCGGCCAGCAGCTGCTGTGAGTGGCCATCCAGAAGCCGGCGACTGATCTGCCTTGCCCGGGAAGAGCACAATGATGGTGCCAACTTGGGCCAGGGAAGCAACGTCCTCCACAACTAGACTGAAGAACAAAAGGACAGCAAATTGTCTGTTCCCCTTCCCCCAATTCCCCAATTAAAAAAAAAAAAAGGTTAAGATGGTTAATTTTGTTATGAGTATTTTGCCACAATTAAAATAAATAACTTTATTAGAAAAGGTGGGAAAGGAAAAGAAGAAACCTGTTTCCTTCTTTGAGTTTCTGCTATGCCAGCACTGTGGGTTAGATAATTTTTTATTATCCATATTCAGCTAATTGAATATAGAGATCATGTACTATTTATTTTTTGTATCCCAGGGCCTGGCATAGTGTGGACAGTTCACGGTAAATAATCAATATGAAA